TTCACATTTCTTTCTTGAAATAAAATCCTTTAAATACTCTGGTTTATTTACCTGTCTTTTAGATTTTCTCATGACAGAATTCTGTTTTTCAGAGTTGAAGGCTACCTTTTAATGTTACAATTGCTACTACTAGGAATATTTAATCTATCTACATTCCCCGATTCATTATCAGATCGTGTTACACTAAATCATCATTTGTCTGATTTGTCAATTCTACATTAATCTCAACATTTGCTTCTAATGGTTAACTAATGTCAGTCCCATCCTGAGAAGCAGGCAAGTTAATAAAATAATCTGAATTAAAATGGTTCGAGTTACATTTATTTTTACTATTGTTGCCCCCATGACTCACAGTGCTTTCACTCTCGATGTTATTTTGTCTTGTTTGATTTGCATGGCGTTTCCACTGTTGTCCCTCTGAAAGTTTGCACAAATAAGCTGTTCGACCTATTCTTTTCTTAATTACTGCTTTTGTCCATTTATGTGGCTGTGATTTTCTATATTCCTTCACGATTACATCATCTCCTTCCTGGAATTCCCTTCTCCTGCCTCCATAGCGTTGTTCCAACTTTGTTCTATGTGTTATTATTCTTTGGTTGGTCTGTTCCTTAGTATCATCTGTCTGGTTATCTCTCTCTCGTAATAATTGCCATCTTGTTCTTATATTTCTACCAAATATTATTGATGCAGGAGTTTTACCTGTAGTTGAGTGTTCCGTTGTTCTATACACCAGTAGGAATTTTGAAATTAAAGTTGTAATTGGAGTATCTCGGTTTCTAGTATCGTCTAGAGCTGTTGTAATTTTGTTTTTGAATGTTTTTACTACTGCTTCGGCTGAACCATTACTTTGTGGGTGAAAAGGTGGAGTAAAAATTTGTTTTATTCCATTTGTTTTAAAAAAAATTCCTAGTGACCTTGCAATGAACTGCGGCCCATTGTCACTTACTATTTCCTGAGGTAATCCAAAGGTGGAAAATATTTTCCCAAGTTTCTTTTCTACTTCCATTGCTGTCGTGTTTTTCATTTTACATGTTTCAATCCATTTTGAATGTTGATCTACTACAACTAAATACATTTTTCCTTTTAATGGTCCTAACAAATCCATGAAAATCCTCTCAAACACCTTGCTCGTAACAGGCCATAATGTGAGATCCGTTTTTGGTGGATTAGGTAAATTGATTGTACATGCTTGACAACTTCTAATTATGCCCTCTATGTCTTTATCTATGTTGGACCAGTATATAATTGATCGAGCTAATGATTTTGCTCTTACCATTCCAAAATGTCTACTATGTAAGTCCTGAAGAAGTCTTTTTCTTAAAATTTTTGGAATGATTATTCTGTGCCCCCATAGTATTTTATTATTTTCAATTTCAAGTTCATCCCTTCTGTTAAAATACATAACTAACTCGTTTCTTACTTGATTTGGCCAGTTATTGTTTTTTACATATTCCATTACTTCCATGAGTTCTTTATCCCTCACGGTTTCCTTTGCTATCTCTTTGTTGTCTATCGGCCAATCTTGAACTGATTCTGTAAAGTTGATGTACATAGCATTTTTTAAATATTCATTTGATGTTACCTCAATGTCTACTGGTTTTCGACTGAAATAAGCTGCAACCACATTGTTCTGTCCTGAAATAAATTTTATTTCAAAATCAAACATTGATAAGAAAGCTGCCCATCTCTGCATACGATTTGTGACATTTGAGGAATTGATTTATGTTCCCCGAATAATGTGATTAATGCCTTATGGTCAGTTTTTAAAGTAAAACGGTTACATGCTAAGTACTGAAAAAACTTATTAACACCAAAGATAATGCCTAGGGTTTCTTTTTAACAAGTTGGGTATGACTTTTCTGCTGGCATAAGTTTTCTGGAGACACAAGCAATTAATTTTTTATGCCCATTTACAAGGTGTGATAAAGTAGCACTTATATGTGGGCATAAGTGCTTATAAAGGGTGATCCAATTTGAATTTCCGAACTTTAAAATGAAATAAAACTCAAAACTTTTAAAACATTTGTATTTTAACTTTAGCAATAGAAAATATTAAGTATTTCATTAAGTATGAAAAACAATATCATTTAAATGGCCGCCCCTAGACCTTCTGCAAGAGTCGATCCTTTTTAGATATTTTCGATGACTTTTTTAAACATTTCGGGCGGTATGTCGGCAATAACTTGCCGGATATTGTTTTTCAGATGATCTAACGTTTTGGGTTGATTGGCATAAACAAGACTTTTAAGGTAACCGAACAGAAAAAATCTAATCGCGGTGGCCAGTTTACGTTTCCAAAACAGGAAATAATGCGTCCTGGGAACTTTTCACGCAGAACATCAAACGTGGCACACCCTCTGTCTGGCAAGTTGCCCCGTCCTGGTGGAACTATTTGTCTTCAAAATCAATATTTTCTATTTTGTGCCAAAAATATTCGCGTATCATATGCTTATATCGCTCACCATCGACTAACACAGCCTCACCTTGGTCGTCTCCAAAGAAGTAAGGCCCAATGACGCCATCTAAGTAGAGTGCGCATCAAACAATTACTTTTTGCGGATGTAATGGTGTTTCGTGAATCTCATGGGGATTCTCCTATCTACAATACTTCCAGTATCTTCAAATTTTTTAACATTTCGAAAAGTTTGCTCAGTAGGACGATTAAATTAACCATAATCTGCGGGTAAAAGTCTGTATACGGTATACGGATTGTTGTTTTGATAAAACATTCGCATAATTTGCATGCGTTGAGCAGTCGTTAAGCGATCCATTTCGTAAATGTGTTTCTACAAACTGTATTTTGACGCTTTAAAAACAAATGCATATTATCAACTGCCTGATTTACAGTAGTGCCAATATAGGAAACTGAAATTGGATCACCCTTTACTTGTATTTTTAACCGACTTCAAAAAAGGAGGAGGTTCTCAATTCGTCGCGATTTTTTTTTGTATGTATGTATGTATGTATGTATGTATGTTCAGCGATAATTCTTTAACACAGTGTCCGATTTCAATAATTCTTTTTTGTTAGAAAGGGGGTACTTCAGGGGTGGTCCCATATAAATGTGGTCAAAATATAATAATTGGGTCCGTGAAAAAATCCTCAAACTCTTAATTTTTTATGTATGTTTAGCGATAATGCTTTACCACCTTGTCCGATTTATATGATTCTTTTTTTGTTAGTAAGGGGATACCTCAGGGGTGGTTCCACATAAATTTAGTTAAGGTGTGGTGACGACATCTGCACGTTTTTGAAGTCGGTTTTTTTAAATTTTTAATTTCTAATACTTGTATTAATACTGCACTTATTACAATTATTACAACTAAACGTTTTGTTCTTGACTTGAACATGGCTCGTTACAGAATGCCGTTTTCGTGTCGACCTTTTCGCACTGTTGCATTGCGCACACTCATCACCAAACCTTATGTAGGTTGTGCTTAAATATACACTGCCGTTTACATAAATTCATGATCGAACAGGTACCTATTATTTTTCATTTTTTTTTTGTTTCCGTACGTTAAGTATATGTTAAAAAATGTTATTATTTGTTTTAATTTTTTGTTTACTTTTTAATTTGGGTAGAGAAAGGTTTATTTTTCGTTTCTTATTTACTTGTTTTTTTATTAACTATAAACAAAGCTCGCCGATCTGGCAAAAATGCAGCTCAAATACCTGGCGTTACGTTTTAGAGAGTCGCGTAGAGGTGAAACGATGCGCGAGAGCGGCCCAATTGGTGCACAGACCTTCTCAAAACGACCCAAAAATGTTTCTAAATTAGTTTAAATACTTATATTGATTTTATGTATTACCAAATTTTCTGAAAGGTTTAAAAAGTGCTTTAAAGTTCTTACTTTCTAAAATCAGATTGTATTAAATTATTATCCGGTATTAAACTAATGCACTTTAATGTATCAAATAGTATTTTAGATAAGCGCGATGTTGCCAAATTAACGAACATATTAATTTTTATTAATGTAATGGTATATCTCTTAAAAATTTGGGTGTAATGACATTTTGTAAAAATCCAAGATGGCTGCAATAAGAAATAACAAAGGTAACGGCAGGTAACTTGAAAACAAAAGAAAATTTGAAAAATAAACTTTTTCACAAAAATAGTCCCCATTAAAAATGTATTAATAATGTAACACTTTAAAATCGCGCATTTCCATTTTTAATAAGTCACAAACTATATAACTTTCAAAAATTTTGAAAATGGATTCAAAATCAGCATCAAATTCTCTAAAATATTCACCTTTTAACTGACCTATATTAAGCGAGATACCAATATAGACTCAAATTTGGGACTCAGTATAGAACTGACGCGCACTTAAAACCTGTTTCTTTAATTGGTTATTTAATTATCAGAACATTATTAATCTTCAAAATAACTGTGGAAACTATATCAACTAGCGGAATAATACACAATGTGAACGCACATGTTCTGAATCCCGAAGGTTACATAATTAAGCAACGAAAAAATACATGTAAAATAACAAAACACTTACAAAAGATAAAAATATGGTAACTAGAAATGAAATATTCTTTCATCATAGGAACCTTTGGTATTTCCACAACTATATAATAATATATTCTGTAACAAGGTTAGACTGAAAATTCGATACGAGTGGAAGATTCTGTACTCGAACGTGATTCTCATTCCAATAGAGTAACAGACTGTACATTCTACACTTTGAATATAATGAAATACTCGACTCTAACTTATGTTAGGCAAGTTTTTATTTAAATTATTTGCTTAATTTGTCAGTTAAGGAGGGATATTATCAAATTCCATATAAGAATAATTTTAATTACCAATTTTTGAATTTAAGTTCGATTTAACAAAACGCCGCTTATCTTTATTTAGGCAAATTCAAACTAATTACTAATACGTCGCGTAGAACTGTCTGTCATGAAATTCATGACTACCTACGATGCGGGCATGGTATTGAAAACCATTGGCCTGTAGCTATTAGGGGGAGAAAATATTTTAACATACGTACCTCTTCTATTTCTTCGGATGGAATATTTATGATTTTAAAAACGTCCGAGAGATTCTTATTGAATCTAGCAATTCCTTTTACAACAGAATACATAAAATTCGATTCCTGAATATTCTCTAGTATCGCTGTGCTTCTTATACTCTCTAGTGCTGCATTTAATTCTTCATTCAAGTATAATGTTCTATTTATCGAGTCTAACAAGCAATTGTCTTTAATTGATAGAGCATTGTCAATGATTATCAGAGGTATGCCTGAAATTTATATTTGGTTTTAAAAACAGAAAAGGTTAAAATTGTAATTATGAAAATTTAAAATTATATATCGGTAATTTAATATAATTATATAGACGCATCATATTCAGCAATTCAAGATTAAATGCGTTACGAATGCTTCAACAACAAATTCGTAATTCCTTTAAAAATAGTGTCGTGACCCTTAATAACCAAATTGTACTCAGTGAGCCTTAACAATTCAACTTACGTATTACGCCTTAAAAGTATGACGAAATTTTGGTTTCCCCTTACAGTTAATTATGACCAAACTTTTAACATTATTTTAACTTTACGTTTTTACTGTTTTTATTTTTTTATTAAATATCGTTTGCAGGTCATAAAAAGTAGTTTAAAGGTACATTATTGGTTATTAAATGATTATATTGTTACCCTGCAGCTTGCAGTAGCCTGCTACTATTATAGAAAACGTACGAATAAAAGAAGAAGTGCAATGTCACCCATCACCCTACAGCACATATTAGGTCTTTTCCTTTGCATCGACAGTGTAGCACTGAGCTACGTTACTTCTGAAAATGTCGTTCCATCCATACAATTTGTATAAATGGAACGATATTTTCAGAAGTGGTGTAGCTCAGTGCTACACTTTCGATGCAAAGGAAAAGACCTACTTTGATTACTATACGAGGCAAGAGAGAGGTCCGACACGCCCAACACAGGACGCGGCCATTTTGAACCCTGTGACACAGTTTACAGCTAAAGAATCAGATCGCTCACTCTGCGTCGGCACTTTTGATCTCAATGTTTCAGTTTATACACTGTGCAACTCGGATAATACAATATATGACAACCGCCTATAATAAAACAGCAGTCTTCTGCGTATACTGAATTTGTATCCCTGAAGTGGATGTTATTTTGGAACTTTCAACTGATCCAAGTGAGCTAACTGATTCTTTAGCAATAAACTGTGACTTCAAAAATAACATTCACTGACACTGACAGCAGCAAGCAAAATATCAGGTGCGTTTTAATCATCCGCTTCTACTTCCGGAATTGTCGGTTTAGTCGTTTTAACCTGTCAGATTAAAACAAGAAAAGCGACAATTCCTAAGCAGAAGCGGATGATTAAAACGCACCTATTAAAAATATTGCGCCAAGATATAGGCAACACGTAATAAGGGTTCAAAATGGCGGAGTTTTCTATCTCCTTTTAAAAGGCACTCAGAAAGCTGCGCAGTGCGACCATTCTCCGTATAGTAAAAGAAAATCAAAGTATGTGCCCTACAGTGTGCAGCGGCCGTCTTAAGTAAAAGTACGAATAAAAGAATAAGAGAGAACAGTTTAGAAATGTCATTCCGTGTCAAGTAAGATTTGGAAGGTTCAAGAGGGTTCCTGAAGGTTCAAGGGAGCTATATAATTCGATGATCCTGACATCACAATTCAATTTTATAATAGTAGATACGTTAATGTTAATAGTTGAATTGTAAAAGTTGAACTGTTAATAAATTGAATTTACTTACCAAAACCAGCGTAACATTTTTTGTAATACGCATCTCTTACGTGTTAAAAAAAAATGTTAATAAAAATGAAAAATAATAATTTATAATGTAAATACAAAATGGCACAAATTTTCAAAATAAAATAACATTACTGACTGAGTAGTAGTAGTTACCATTCCTTACGTCGCTAAAAGAAAACTTGTTGCCAAATAAATAAAGAATCGCAACTCTTAATTATCATTTCTCCATGGTAACATTACTGACCAAAGCCAGACTTAGAGGAACGTATTTCAGCAAAAAATCCCATGACAACTAAAGAGCGTTTACGTTTGAGTTGTGCCAACTTCAAAAATTCATAAACCCGACGTCTCACTTTAACCTATTTTCCGTGCCAACCCAATATCCAACCCGGCAAAACATCTGATTGACCTGCTTCAACCACTGTGCAGAAAGCCTATTTCTGGATTAAACCATGCTCTCATTTTTTTTTATCAGTTCAATATACTGTTTGGTGAACCGACATTCTAATTACTTTACCAATGTTGACAAATTGACCACACTTTCCACAAAACACCACATCATACAAAACTTGTCCGTTATTACACATCATAACAACTTTTACAAAAAAATACCTACAGGGTTATCCATTAGTATGAAAAAGTCTACTATGTCTGGCACTATTAGAAAAAATATATAACAACGATAGACAGCATTAAACTCCATATTTAAATAATACAAAGTGTTCAATAACTTCAGTATGGAACAAGCTTATATTTTTTAAATGGTTAACCCTGTATTTTAATTTATATTTGAATTACCCTCACGTTTCCCATTATAACAATAACAAATAGGGAATTACACAGGGTATTTCTTTCACAAACTATAACCAGTTTTATATGAAAATTGTAATGATTTCATGACCTGTATAATTCAAAAGAAACAATTGAAAGCCAATCTTTACTATATAAGTTTTTTGACGCACTACTTTTTCAATTCATAATAAATCTGTATATAAATACATAATTTTTTCATATTTAAAACTTACTGAAGGGGTGTGGATTCTTGAAATTCAAAACTACCAATACACGACCACGTCACCCTGTATCTTCCATAGTCGTTTTGAAAGAAACATCGAAGGACCGTCTTAGCATTACGGCCACATACTTTGATTTTCTCTTACTATACGGAGAATAGTCTCACTACGCAGCTTTCTGAGTGCCTTTTAAAAGGAGATAGAAAACTCCGCCATTTTGATGCTTTATTACGTGTTGCCTACATCTTGACGCAATATTTTTAATATTTTGCTTGCTGCTGTCAGTGTCAGTGAATATTATTTTTGGAGTCACAGTTTATTGCTAAAGAATCAGTTAGCTCACTCGGACCAGTTGAAAGTTCCAAAATAACATCCACTCCAGGATACAAATTCAGGATTCGCAGAAGACTGCTGTTTTATTGTAGGCTGTTGTCATATATTGTATTATCCGAGTTGCGCAGTGTATAAATTGAAAGATTTAGTTCAAAAGTGCCGACGCAGAGTGAGCGAACTGATTCGTTAGCATAAACTTTGGCAAAGGCATCAAAATGGCCGCGCCCTATGTTGGGCGTGTCGGACCTCTCTCTTGCACCGTATAGTAATCAAAGTATGTGATTACGGCGCTAAGAAAACCTCTTTACAACTAAAGCATGTATTATACTACTTTTCGAATTTTAACCAACTACCCTTCGAGGTGTCTAAAAATACACTCTCGATGAAAACATTTGCTGAGCACATGTCATTTACAGAGAATAGAAATTTGTACAACATTTTCTAAAATTCGTTATACAAGGAATTACTCTCTCAATTATTGTCCGGTCGGAATTTAAAATACAAAGATAAATTACTACCACAAGCAATACTGGTACAAAGCTCAAATTCAGAAATTTTTGAGTTTTGACAATAATTTATCACTCGAGAACAGTCCAAAGAATTTAAACACTTACCACAATTTGTTAAATCGACCACAGTCATTGCATTTGTAAATTTTAGTAGTCCAGTAAGTGACTTTTTCTTGACTTTCTTTAATTTACTTTGTGATATTGGACCAGGCGCTGCTGGTGCCGCCGTCGATTCAACCTAAAAATATTAATTTACAAATTGAGTTATCCGATAGGCTGTCAGATAAAAAGCAAGATGGCCGCATGTAGACACACAATAGTTATTTGTGCATTATAGCAGAAGTAAAAGTTGGAAAGGCTTTTGCCAGTTCTCCCACTTTATACAGATAAATTGACAGGTTTGCGGCGAATCTCACCGAAGTAGATGCGATACATTGGCGTACAAAATTATTTTATAGATGTTAATAACAATTTCGAGTAAATAGTTTACTAAATTATGAATAGCTGTTGAAATTTTGTAAAATTATGATTTGAATATTATAATACATGTTTAATAATAGTCCATAAATACATGCGATTGTCCGGTTCCGCCGATATCACTTTAAAATTACTTATTCTACGAAACGACACTGGCTGGTAAATATTACAGCGAAATTCTCGAAGCCCTCCGACGTTTACCCCCTCTTCATCTACCAAAAGCCTTTCTAACTTTTACTTTCGCTATACAAGAGAAAAGTGCTATAATCCTGAAACCCCCGGCTCCTGACAAACTAATGCAAAAAATATCATGCAAATGCCGCACTGACTGTGGTAGGCGTTGCATTATTTGTGCCGATTCCTGCACCAACGTGGACGAAAGAACCGACCTCGATGAGCAAGAAGACGACCTTTCGTTTGCTGCACCACTGTCAGAGGCAGGTGAGACTTCAGAAGATAATTTATGCGTTACAACACACAAACTCAATGACATTGCTTTAATTTAAAGAACCGCCATCCCAGCCTGCCACTCCGAGTGCTGAAGAGCCTGAGCCTGTACCATCATCATCATCCATTGAAAACCCTACGTCCGGACCTTCCACAGTCCCAGCCAAACGAAGGAGAGTCAACTTAAATGGACATTGCTATCAGGTATTTTTTTACATAGCATATTCGCACTATACTTAAACTTGCTCTTCTTTCCAGCTGACTATATGGCCTTTCCACGATTTTTCCTTAAATATATAATGAGAAGTTACTTCTTTTATCTTGTAACTCTAAGTATAATAAGTAAATATTTTTTTTGTAAATGGGTACTTATTACTTTTTATTACATGAACATAATACTTATAAATCCTCAAGTCAGATTTGCAACAAAAGGAGTGGGAAGGAATTTAGGGTTGGGAAGGGAGTTTGAGAGAAACGGGGAGCTAGTATTTTAATTTAGGGTTGGGTGGAGAGGTTTAAGAGGTGGGGGGTTCATATTGACAGCGCAGAATTGTTATTATTGAACCCCTGCATATTGATCAAATAAGCGTTTAGAGGGAAAATGGAAAAATGATCAGTATATGCGTATATACTGATCCAAATTTAAAACTTCGGTGCTCACTGAACGCAAAATTTATGCTTTACAACTTTTGTTCTACGAGTTTTTCACGTAGAGTGGCTGCTTTCACATCACAGATCTCTAAAAGAGAGTTTCTTGCAGTTTTCACAGAAGTTGCTAAAAATTGGCTATTTTCGACTGACGATAGCGACCTTATAAATCGGTCTAATTTAAAAGTTACGGAGGTTTTTTGACGCAGAACTTTATGCTCTCTAACTTTATATAGAATGACTTTTTCCGTGCAATGCATTGTTTCCATGATATGAGCGGAAAACCAGAAAAACTCCGAAAATTTCAAGGATTTTTGCGTATTTCGACCTGATACGGCACTGCTACGAGGCAGAAAACTTCAGATTCGTGTTCAGCACCCCAAAAAACGCATAATTCCGTTGAAAAACTTTCTACAGCTTTTATGTTACCGAAAAACTACCATTTGATCAGGCTATCTCTGAATTAATGCTAAAACTAATTAAATAGAAACAATTATAAACTTTGGATATTTATGATGTAAAAAAGACGATCTCTGATATTATTAAGAATAAAAAAAGATTAAAGAATGAGAGTAGAAGATAAAAAGTTTTAACAGTTATATAAATTACTAATACCAACAAAAGTAGTGAAAACTGGGAATATCTAGAATATATAGGCTTGGGAATGATAGCGGTAGAAGTTATTGGACAAAATATTGGCGAATAAAAAAAATTAAAAGCAATTAAAAACATATCAAACATTTGAAAGTAATAAAGCTGGATAATAACCACTGGATGGAACTATCTTTTTATTAATTTTTTTTCCTAAACGCTGCTGTTATTTAAAATTCAATATTATATATATATATATATATATATATATATATATATATATATATATATATATATATACAAATTACTAAAATTTACAAATTTTTTAAAAATATATTTTACCCATAATGTAATTAGCAGTTTCTAATTGTGCAGACTTTATAAAACCACTAATACTTACTTCAGTTAATGCGCCATATTTTCTATTCCACGATTCGCACACATCGTTTAGATCAAGAATAAAAAGACCAAAAGCTTTGAACTGTTGATCCAATCCGCTAGGCATCACCTTTGATATCACTGAAACAATAATTTTAAATTACAATAGTTATATGTATTATACGGCCATTTTAAAATCGGTCAAATTTTTCGAAATGAATTAAAATATTGCAATTGTTTAAGGTGAGTATAGCACCCCCTTATAATTTTCGGACAAGCATATCTTAAAAAGTGATTTTTTTTAAAGTTAAAATTTTGGCAAAATAAATTAAGTAATAATATCTAGAATATGCTTATATTTTAAAGTTTTAATTATTTTCAGTTTCCAAGAAAAAAAATCAAAGGGCTTTAAATTTTGAAATATCATAATGAAAATAAATGCATTCCTCAACAGCAGTATTCCTAATATAATCCCCAAATTTAAGCTCTTAATCTCTTGTTAATGATTTTGTAAAATTCGCCGAAATTAGTGGCTAAAACGCCTCGTTAAGTGCTGCTTTCTGGTGTAACGCGACTGTAACTATCGTATCGTAGACTTTGAGTCATCATTCGTTTCTTGCAATGACTTACACCAGTTTAAACCAGAAAATATCACTTAACGAGGCGTTTTAGCCACTAATTTCGGCGAATTTAAAAAAATTATTAACAAGAGATTAAGAGCTTAAATTTGGGGATCATATTAAGAATACTGCTATTGAGGAATGCATTTATTTTCATTATGATATTTCAAAATTTAAAGACCTTTGATTTTTTTTCTTGGAAAATGAAAATAATTAAAACTTTAAAATATAAGCGTATTCTAGATACTATTGCCTAATATATTTTGCCAAAATTTTAACTTAAAAAAAAATTACTTTTTGAGATATGCTTGTCCGAAAATTATAAGGACGTACTGTACTCACCTTAACGCGCAAGGAATAGCACTCATTTCCTACGAGTATGATGTTTTCACGTGTAGGAAATGAGCATTACTTGGAAGTTGAACAATGTACGTTTTCTATGGCTATAACACCTTGCTAACTATTTAGATTCTTTGACCATTATTACTAAGGCCCTTCGTATGGGGCCTCAGTATTGCATTCGTGCATACGAAAAAATTTTCTTAACCCCAATTTTTTATACTTTTTTCACGTTTCCGATCATGGTGAGTCCGAACATGCTATAACTCTAGAACGAAAGTTCTGATTGACTTGCGGTTTTGATTTTCTTGAATAATTGGTCCCAACATAGAACCCTATTGATTTTCAGAATTGTTGGTTCATCCTAACTACTTTAATATCAATGTTCTTAAAATCCGCCTGTGCATTTCAATGCGACTTATTTTACGCATTCCGATCATTCCTAACGTTTAACATTCCAAACATTCCCAACATTCCAAACATTCCAAACATTCCAAACATTCCAAACATTCCAAACATTCCAAACATTCCAAACATTCCAAACATTCCAAACATTCCAAACATTCCAAACATTCCAAACATTCCAAATATTCCAAACATTCCAAACATTCCAAACATTCCAAACATTCCAAACATTCCAAACATTCCAAACATTCCAAACATTCCAAACATTCCAAACATTCCAAACTTTTCAAACATTCCAAACATTCCAAACATTCCAAACATTCCAAACATTCCAAATATTCCAAACATTCCAAACATTCTAAACATTCCAAACATTCCAAACATTCCAAACATTCCAAACATTCCAAACATTCCAAACATTCCAAACATTCCAAACATTCCAGACATTTCAAACATTTCAAACATTCCAAACATTCAAAACATTCCAAACATTCATTAAAATTTAGAATTAGATCTGTCATGCTCTGTCAATACAAATTAGCACGGTGTTGCCAAGTGTCCAATTAAAATCAACTAAAAAAGAAATATAAAAAAATACCTTATTTTTGCCATAACATTTCCATAGTCTTTTAAAAGCAGTTCTATTAATTTATTTCCGATCACATCCGATGATTTATTTATCCATTTTGATTGAATTGTTGTAGTACATAATTTTTAAATATTAATATTACGTCATCTATAAGTAATAAACAATGTACTTTTCGAAAAAGTTGAAACATAATTTGTGTTATTCAAAAGTATTTAAAACTTTTTTAAATCAAGTGAATTTATTTGTTTGATAAATGACGCTAGCCAGCCAAGTTAAAAGGGTACTATCAACAAGAGGGGAGCTGAATTAGTTCAATTTGTGCTGGGTAAACTGTGACGGCACTCGGTGGATACTTTTAAGGCATTTCTTTATAAACTTACCACAACATACTTGGTTACAGTACCTATTGTGCAGGGTTGCCAATCGTACGGTAATTACCGTACTTGTACGGTAATTTCAATTAATGTACGATATATGGTCCAAAGTCATTACCGTACATAAAAGTACGGTATTTACATAAAAAGTACGGTATACGTACGGTATTTTCAACAGAATTAGCAAAGACTGAGTTGTGCAATAAGGACCGACTCCATTAAATTACCTAATAAAGATTAGAATGACATTGTCCAATGTAAAAATGCAGCAGATGTTCTTAAAAACTTCAAAAGGACCTAGTCTGTACAAAAATATAAGCCGATGATTAAAATAATAGGTATGATGAGGACCTTTTTTTTTTTTTTTTTTTTTTTTTTAGAAACACGACACGAAGAGTTACACCATGTAGTTTTTTTTACAAAATAAAAGTGTACGGTACTGGCAGGCCATGTACGGTAATTTGAATTGCGCGGTACGGTAAATGGAATTTGAAAAGTTGGCAACCCTGCGTGGTTACTGTGGTGACGTCACACATATCGTGGTAACCTTTTATATAATGTTATATGTCAAATTTAATTTAAGTTTGGGGATTTCTAAATGGAATTTGAGGTTAAATTAGCCGAAATCAGTTACTTAAAAATTGTTACCAATGCAACCGTTGCCATGCTAACCAGTAAACACAAACTCAAATCTCGTGGTGAGGAAATGAATAGTTGCTAAGTTATATATCATTTAGTGTTCACTTTATTTTAGACGAAATCAGTTATGGTGAAACTGTTGCCTTGGGGACTAAACAAAAAACCAAATCTCGTGGTGAGGAAATGCGTAGTTGCCAAATGAGTTAATTTAGCTCTCATCAGTTACAGAAAAACTGTTCCCATAGTAACAACAAAACAAAAACCCAATTTCCGTGGTAAGGAAATGCATAGTTTGCAAGTTACAGATCATTTCATTTTCACTTTAGTGTAGCTGAAGTCGGTTACGGAGAAACCGTTGCCATAGGAACACTTGTCATGATGTCGACTAAATAAAAAACTTAATTCGGTGGTGAGGAAATGCGCAGTCGCCTCTTATATTTATATTAACTCCTAACATAATATCTCAATCTAAACTAAAGTGAAAATGAAAGCATCTATAACTTGACAACAAGGCATTTTCTCACTACGGGATTTGTTTAGTCGTTAGCATGACAAATGTTTCCATGGAAACTGTTTCTCCATAACATCACGCTACGCTCCTCCCATCCACCTCCAAACCACTACAGAGGAGAGCGAGTGAAGCGAGCGCTCCTGGCCGATGTGCCCTTTTTTCCACCCACATTATAAGATCACGTTACGCTCCTCCCACCCACCTCCTAACCAGTACAGAGGAGGGCAAGCGAAGCGATCGCGCCCGGCCAACGTTTCGAAATTCGCGCGAATTTGATTCATTTCATTTCATAAAATTTAATTTAAAATTATTTTGCAAACCTATCGGGAATATAAATATTAGTATGTTACGTTACTTTTTTGTACACTTTGTACATAAATTTTGACTTATACCTCAACGTTTCAAATTTCTCAATATTTCTTAATTAAAAAAAAAAATGTTTAGATAACATGTCATAGAATTTAAATTTATTATCTACTATTTGCCTATTTATTTACTCCTATAATAATTTTTAAATATGTTTAATTATCTCTTGGTCAAAATGATCTTTTGAATTTAAAAATGTTTGAACGTCGTAATTTAAAAAAGGGTGCATCGATGTACGTTTTAAATGGGATAACTTTTAAAGTATTCACCGAGTGACGTCACAGTTAACCCAACAGAAACAGAAAGAGCTCTAGACCTCTTTTAGACGAGGATAATGTATGCGATATAAGCGTATCCATCCGAGATTCAGGCTGACCATACACTTAAATGGATCTATTCACACGGTACGGGCGACGCATACAGTATCGCGATACGGAATTTCTGTATCCCGGCACCTTCAGCCGCGGAGGCTGAATGTGTATGCCGCATACAGAATTACTATATTACGATATATGGACATTTTCAGACATGTATTCTTTTACAATGGAGATTATATCATAGGCGCAGGATTTTTCAATAGTAGGTATCCTGAGTGCATTTAGTTTAATCGATATTATATGAGAAAACATTGTTTTGAAAATTTTCTTATAAAGCAAAATTTAAAAAATTATGTTTTACGATTAAATTAGATGCACGAAGGGTTTTTTTTAAATTATTTCAGGAATAAAAAATTAGCTCAAACTACAGATTTTTATATTTTTTACCGTCTTCTGTACGCATGTTGTATGTCCAGTCTTTTAATATTAAAGTAATGAACTCACAGATGCCTTTACGTCAAATTCGTACATTTTTCTTAGTTAAACAACATCAATTGGTTCCAAATTGATTTATGAGTTTCGACTTTATTAATTGGAATATTTTTTATTATTAGAGAGATATTGCAAATTTCTATAACGCCAGCCACTAATAGTGACATCGTAATTAGAGTCAAATAAATTTAATGCTAAAATCAAATTTATTGCAAACCTGAAATTTTGACATTAAAATCCTTATCCTTATACTTATTTCTAACCTCATTTTAATAACTTTATAGTTCATATTTTTTGTTGTCTATAATAGTACATAATATTGAAGAAGCATAAGAAATTATAATTTTAGAAGATTTAGATGACGATAATATAAAATATTTAATAAATTTTCGAACTGATACGAATGTCGGCGAGCGCATCCGAAAGCTATGAAGTCGCCACTAATTGCTGCCCTTAAACATTCACAATTAAGGACCGGCACAATCTTTAATGTCAGTTTTAGAACATAAACGTCTGCGCATGCTCAGATGTCAAAATAAGAGCGGCACCAATAGTGACTGACCTTAAGTGAACTTGCAATAACTCTCTATTATCTATCTATTATTATCTATTATCTACCCTATCCGTCGAAAAACCTCCAACCCATTATGTTTTGCACATTTTTATTTTTCAAATAAAATTAAAGTTGAGAGATATAAAACTTATATTTCTATGTGTAAAACACTCAGGCACCAGTTCGCTCACTCGGCGTCGGCACTTTTGATCTCAATGTTCCAGTTTATACACTGCGCAACTCGGATTTGTATCCCTGGCGCATACAGAATCAAATCATAACCAATACAATATATGACAACCGCCTATTATATTCAAACAACAGTCTTCTGCGCATCCTGAATTAATATTTTGGAACATTTAACTGGTCCGAGTGAGCTAACTGATTCTTTAGCAATAAACTGTGACTCAGGTTTGTTTAAAGTTCTGGTATACTAGACTAAACGTCAAAACTATATTTTAAAAGACATTCTGATTAATTTGTTATACTATGTATTACTGTTATTACTAAGCGCAGTAAAGTAGTGGTTGAGAATATAGTTTTAGACACCGAAAAATTTATTAGTTTGGTGTAGCCTAGTCCCTGCTTATGGGACCCAGGACACAGATTCATTTTTTTAATATACACGGTCGAAAACTTGGGCTGCTGTATCGAATTCAGGTATCTCTTCAATCAGTACTAAAATAATCACAGTGGCGTGCATAGATTTGAATTATGGATATAGAAGAGTGTACACATAAAGCTCATCATATATATAATATGATAATAAATGACATGCAAATGCATAATCACGTGATTTTTGTAAGTGTCAAAATTGACATTTTTTCCAAAAATTAAGAAAGTGACATTATTTTTAATATAAGTTTTCAATTTTTTGTACTTGTACAAAATATTTTGTAAACTACACAAATAATAATTAAATGTTTATTTTACGTATGAAGTTTATTAATATTAAAATAATGTTACAAAAATAATTATTATTAAAACAAATGGAATAAAACAGTCTTGACAAAAGAAATCGACTGCATTCCTCAACGGTGTTCGATAATCTACCGATCCAAAAGTTGGTCCCACTAGTTAAAACCATTGTATAAAGAAAAGAAAAAAGAAAAAAAGTGCCCACTCGGGGGTTTGAACTCGGAACCCTTCGATTCGTAGACAAGTACTATAAATTTTCGTTATGAAGACTTATGAAAAAGTTTTACTTTTTAACGCTGATAATCAGACTGCTTTTAGTTTCATTAAAATCTCAGTTTATTTCTAAATATAGACGAATTGTCACTTATAAAGTTCTAACATCTGACGTAGAGGGCGTATCTAACCAGTAAATAAAATCGTTAGTTCAATGATTGTACCAATAGATGTCGGGCGTGATTGCCTCCAATAACTTTTACATGGCGATTATCCTACTATAGTTCTTTATACAATGTTAAAACGATCCTTTTCTGTCGACCGCCGGCGACTGAAGGTGCCGGGATGCAGAAATTCCATATCGCGATACTGTATGCGTCGCCCATACTGTGTGAATAGGTCCATTTGAATGTATGGTCAGCCTGAATCTCGGATACGCGTATCTCGCATACAGTATTCTCGTCTGAAAGAGGGCAAAGACTTTTTCGCTGTTTGTCTCGTTTCTAGATACACGCGCTGGATGCTTTCAAAAACGCTGGTTAGAGAATAGGCTCGATAAATGGTGACATGCTCTTAGTTTCTCTTAATATTCTCTATTATTATTTAAGATAAAATTATAATTTGAAAACAATCAGACTCATTAAGTTTTTATCAAGTAATGAACAACAATATATTTCCACGAATTTATACAGTTTTTATGAAATCGACGCATATAATTAAAAAATCGGTAGAGAAGGTATTTTTTTTTTGGAAATATCAAACCAAGATAAACAAATATTTATATATTTTTTGCCATATCATACAATTTTGAAATTTCAACAGGATACAGAGAAAAACTTATTAAGGGAGAATTTTTACCTTTGACATTAGAAATCAAACACTACAATTCAAACAATTGGATCTAAGGAAATGTACCTAATTTCTTATTCAACAATAGTTGAGAAAAAATATTTTGTATTATTGCCTTGAGAAAATATGTAACGACTCTTGCATTTTTTATATTGTCTTACCTTGTATTTTTTCATCTATCATGTGGTCTAGTTTTTCATCACCGGTATTACTAATCGAAGCTTTATGAATTACTTCCTTTTTATCAATCTTGTCTTTATTTGCTTTTTCTTTCATTGTATGTGTTGAAACTTCTGAAAACAAAAACTTCTTCTATAGCAAATTAGTACACATCAGGGAATGAGTGAAACTTTATAATTCTAGATAAATTTAAATTAAGAAAAAAGTCTACGAATCAATCGTCCCTACTGTTCTTCTCTAGCTAACTTCTTTCGACAGTGGGTGGGATTGTCGACTTTTTTCTTAAATTTTAAATGATGAGGTAAGTCGTGATTGCGTATCGAGTAAAGCTGATCTGAGTATAGTCCAGAGATAACAAAATATAATATTCATGCTGCCAACATTAATTATTTAAGAGTAGAAATATCAAATACACTATTTGCCAAAATTATTTTTTTGGTATGTGCTTAAAAAGGTTGTAAATACCATCACCAATATATCCACAAAGGTTCTTGGAGCTATATATAATTTCTAAGCATATTAGAAATAAAATAAGGTCGCGCATAAAAGGTAAGAGCAATACACCTAATAAATTTGATTTCTTAATTATCTTAAATTTGTGAATTTTGTACTTAGTGCCTTTGATACTTCCACTCGTTAATACGCTCCAGTTGTAGATCCGGAGTGTAGAGACGTGTGGTTCGAGGTAAAGATAAAGATTTTATGGTGATAATTTTTTTTTACATATTATTAATTTTATTTCATAATTCAACATTCCATTAACATCTTTTAAGTAAATCTAATAGTTCAATGCAATGCTCATAAATCAAATCCGCCCCTGCCACAGAGTTCGGGTATCTTCCCAGGTCCCCCACTCTGATAACCTTCCGTTAGAAATTCAACCTAGAAATTAGCAACATTCGCGCAGGTTAAACACCGTTGTATGTTACATATCTGGTCTCTTTAATCTAAGCTTTAAACTTACTAATATAATAAACGTTGTATTTCGACTAGAGCATGTACCTAGCATGTGGAAAGTCGCTTAAATTATAATGATACCCGATCCTCGTAAACCACCAAATGAAGGAAAATCCTATATCCCTGTTACCACAGCTGCCTAAACTTTTCGAAAAACTTTTACTAAAAAGATTGAAACCCATGATAGACAGTAAACATATACTAATTTGAATTTTGGAACAAGCATTCCACTATTATACACTAATAAAATAGAGAAAATAATATGTGCACCCCACTCTTTCTAGATGTAGCTCCGGATTTCGATAAAGTATGGTTAAAGCCCCTTGAATATACTATAAATAAACTTTTACCTAAGCAATATGTTGACATCTTAAAATCCTACTTGACTGATAGAATCTTCCAAGTAAAACAAGAAGAATATTCCACGTTTAAAGAAACTAAAACAGGGGTACATCAAGGAAGTGTTCTGAATCCAGTTTTTTACCTCCGATATACCACAATCGCAAAATAAGAAAGTAGTTAAATTTTCCGACGACACAGCCATACTTGCCATCGCTAAACCCGTAGAACAATCGACTAGAAAACTTCAAGAGGTAACTAATAACATCTCCGAGTGGACAAAAATATGGCGCATTAAGCTTATCGAAACTAATACAGCTCAGGTTAACTTCACTAATAAAAGATCAGTAGAATACCTACCAGTTATATTAAATAACACTAGAATAACATATTTTAATTCGGCGAAATACTTAGGCATGAACCTAGATATACAATTAAAGTGGAAAGAACACAAAAAAAAAACTTTCAATAGAAAAATGGACTTATGACATACAGTTCTGAGGGTGTGCTAGTAAAACTAACAAATGTAATACGTTTCCAGAACAAAATATTAAGGGCAATAGGAAACGCTCCTTGGTATGTTAAAAACTCAGACCTTCGCAGAGATCTGAGAATGCCTACAGTCGAAGAAGAGAGGAAAAACCATCGCAAAAAATATATGAAAAAAGACTGCATGACCACGTCAATATTGAAGTTCTAAAGTTCCTGGACAACCGATATCTAATAAGAAGGCTCAGAAGGATCAAACCATTTGAATTAGTGATGTGAAGGTATGTAAAAACAGAGCACAGTGCGCGTGTGCAGTGTATAGTTCATCAGAAGAGAAAGAAAGATGGATTAGGTTTAAGCCTCTAAGTTTACTTAAGTTCATAATAAACACAAATTGCTATTGGCTGAAATATAGCTAGGTGTAATGCAAGTAACAAAAAAAATAGTACTTTTAAACAGAATACGTGATTTCGATATCTAATTTTGATCATTTTTTTGTTCTAATTTTTTTTTTGGTTCCGATCTTTTTCACTTTAGACCTTTTGACTTTTAATCAATTTTCCGCTCTCCATAGAGAACGATCTGGCAATATTATATTTTTATTTGTTTAAAGTCAGACGGTAATTTCTGGATGTTCAGTCAAATTGGTTGAGAAGCTTAATTGCGCTCTTCATAATATAGTTTTATATTTCACATAAGTCATTTTAAAAATTTACTAGAACATTATTTTAACAATCTACCTATCTCGTAAAAATGTTTTATTTAAAATATTTATTTACTGTGTACTTTTAAAACCCAAATATAGTTTTACTCACTTTGCTCTGCTGGTTGTTCTTCCAGAATCATTTTGGCTTCATCAACTAGGTATTCATCAAGTGTTAATGACAATATCACTACTTGGATATATCGCATATTTCCAATTCCATGTAAAAGACACTCCAGAGCCAAGATTGGAGTTTTTATAAAAACGCTGTCTAAACTCTCTATTACCTAAAAATAAAAAGGTAATCACGACCTCGTAGAGCAATGTTTGTGTTGCAATTTGATGTAATTTGTAATAAATATAATAAAAAAATTTAGAAATTAGAGCCAGACTATACTAGAACAAAATGTTGGGAGTATGTGAGTTATATGCGTAATCAACATTTTTGTTTTTGCATGGAAATTCCGACGAAAAGTAACAGAGAGTCAGCGTAGGTGGCGTATCAAATATCATAGAATTAATATTGATTTGTTACCAAAATGTATGCCAAATCAGTTAAAATCAGTTTTAACTCTGCAAAAGAGTAAAATTTTGTAAGATAATGGCCTAATATTTAGAGGCGATGACCAACGAATGCCTTTCAAATAAATACACACCAGACAGGTTACAGATTGAATATTGTCAGCACACGCACAAAGACAGTTAAAAACTAACATTCGACGAAATTAAATTTGTATCCCTTTATCGATTTACGATGATTATTTTATATATTTTATTTTTTATATAAGTATTCTTTTATGAAGTAGTTAGTTTATGTTTTTGCCTTACAATTTGATATCGCGTTAGTGCATATTCGACGAGTTTTATTTATTGTGTAGTGTGTATGATAGGCTAAAACTAGTGGCGCATCCATAGTTTAAGTATGGGGGTAGTTGTAATATTTAAGACTTTATTTCTGATAATTCATTTTTACTACCTATAAAAAGTAAGATTTAAAAAATATTACCCCCAGTATATTCACCCCTGATAAATAAAACCATGGACCGTTGTTATTTTTTAATTGGAGTATCTGTTTCAACAGTTGAACGCATTGTTTGCGAAATTACAAATACATGTGCCTTAGGAGGGTTGAAATTAAAAAAAATCAAAAATCAAAAACGAAAACGAAAAGCGATATCAACATGAAATTTTTAGTAAAAAACAAGCTCTATAAGAGGACGAATTCTAAAAAAAATCTTAATTAAAATGGGGGGTTGAGAGGGGTTGAAATATTGTAAAAAATTCTAACTCAGAAACAAAAAACGATATTAAATTGAAATTTTCAGGAAAAATCAAGCTTTATACGGAGATTAGCTCCTCGTGTCCGTTTTTTCTGAATTTTCATCCATGGTGCCCCCAAATAAAAGTAAATTATCTATAAGTATTTATTCTATAAACTAATGGAAGATTACTGTTGGAATTTGCCATATAAAAAAAAAATAAAACTAAAAACCTAAATATTACCCAAAATCATCTAAATATCAATTTTCAAAATTATTTTAGATCAATTTTATTATAAGAGTTGTCTCGTGGCCGGACTATTTCAACGACGAATTTTATACATTTTAAATGTTTATTAACTTAATGCACTTTCAAATTATTGTAAAAATTCAAATATTTTATTTTATTAACTAAAATAAATGTATATCACAGTACTCACCAATTATTTAATTTGAACAAAATAACTAATGTAATGAACAAAACAACCTGTGACTACAATTTTGACCAAAAAAAGTTTAATTATAAAAATAAGATTAATTAATAACGCACAATAATTATTTAATCCGACAGTTTGTATGTTTAAAGGCCGGTACTTTATGCCTCCGACTAAATCATTGACGTTATATACTGTGGACGCGCCTATACCAGCTTGCGACACACAGCTCTTTGCATCCAACATTAGAAAGAGAGGCCCGCGAGAGAGAGGGAGTTAGTCCGGGTAGAACGCCACGCGTTTAAATGAAATTTAGATATAATTTTTTACAAACGGGCATGTATTTCGAGTATTTAATTTAATTTGCTTTTGGGGTCTTTAAGAACTAATAAGGAATGTATTATAAATATATTTGCCTTAGATTAACATTAAAATTAGGTATTTAAAAAAGTATTAAGTATGATTTTATCCGTTTTTACTGTACCCAATGGGTGGGTAAATAATAAAAACACTGTCTCTGTATAAAAATTATTATCTAATTATTATAAAAACTAATTTAACAAAAATGAAATAAAATAAAAATAATAACATTTAATTATTAGGCACTATTGGTGACTATATGTAATTGTCTTTGTGAGATGTTGCCTAGTTCTTGTGCTAGGTTCATTCTTAGTAGGATTAATGTAATGAAGTCTTATTGTAAAATAGGTTTTTAAAATAAGTTTAATTAACTGCAAAAAATGGCTCTGTAAGCGATCTTGTTCTTTAAAATGATTTTCTAAACTAACAAATAACGTATTATTATTAATTCTCCTTATTGATAAGGATATCAACCTTATCATAATATTTTGTGATGAAAAGTTTGTTTCTGATTTAATTAAACCCTCAGCGATCAGACACACTGTAACTACGTCCCTTGATGGTTTACAGAGAGCGCCTCGATTTTTTTATTTAATAATAAAGAAAGAGAGTTTTGAGATGTTAAGACACTGGCGCATTCATTGCAGCTTAATATTTTTATTAATTTTCTGCTAACAGAACCTGCAATATATCCGACAACATCACACATGTATGAACAATTTAAAACAGTATTGTAGTTATAAATCAAAGCGTCCTCTTCCACATCTGAAAATTCTTCATATTCATGCAAAAGGTCCATAGTTACACTTTCAGATTGATTTTTAGCTGTGACATTTAAAATTAAGGTGTTATCTTGTGCCAGGCAATTAGCACTATCAGAAGAGGCTATTTCGCTGTGAACTATTTGTCTTTTGTAGGCATTTTCAAAGTGATATGCTGTCGGGTTGTTTGAAAAGCCATTCCTACTACGTATGGCAGAGAAATACATCTCGAGATGGTCCTGACTTAATTTATATGTTAGAAGAAATTTTAATTTCACTCCTTTCTCCCTTAGGTCCCTTTTTGAAAAAAACTCTTTAAATTGAATTAAACCTTCTTAAAACAGTTGAAGACTTGCCTAAATGCATTTAAACGCACGAGTGAATATACAACCAAACATCAAATGTGTCCCGGTGTGGCTCTATCCTCTGCTGCCCGTCTCTCTTGCACTGCTCTGGCATCAATGCCATACAGTACGGGCGGGTCCACAGTATGTAACGTCAATGGACTAAATACACGATTACGAAATCATGTGTTTAATTTAATCAAATAACCTAATCGTGATTAAGCATTATTGAGTAAGCTGCAGAACATTGACCTGCCGACTCATCACATTCCACATGGTCAAAGGTTTAGCGATGCAACCACGGCCGGCCAATGTCCACCGATGTCAGCACTTATTTTTAGTATAAATAGATTGCCAATTAATATTATTTTTTAGTCTGATATATACAGGGTGTTTCAAAAAGGTTCAAAAAGGAACTATCCTTATTCCCAAGCAGTAGATCGATAACGCTGAAATTAAAGAGACACTCACTTCCGCCAATGATCAACTAGCCTGGTCAGAAATTTTAAATTCCACACCTGATCCAATCCAATTAGCCCTTTTATCCAATTAGCCCTTTTGGAACTTGTAAATTTAACGTCGAAGAATACCACCTATATTCCATGGAAACATCTCTACAACAAAACTCGAAACAAGTTATCGACGATCTAATAAGAACTGATCACTTAAACGTGGAAGAGGAGGAACATATTCGTCGACTGCGCAGAAAATATTCAGATATATTTCACCGACCAGACTTTCTCCTTTCATTTGCAAATGAAGTCAAACACCATACCAAGACAAAAGATGAATTACCAGTCTATACGAAGTCCTACCGATATCCGTACATCCACAAAGAAGAAGTCATAAACCAAATTTCCTCCAAGCCAATCCCCATGGTCCTCTTCAATATGGATCGTCTCCAAAAAACCGGATGCCTCAGGTAAAATCAAATGGCGTATCGTGGTTGACTATATTAAGGTGAATGATAAAACAATCGACGACCGGTACCCTATACTCAATATCTCAGATATCCTGGATAAACTTGGACGGTGCCAATATTTTACTACATTGGACTTGGCAAGTGGATTCCATCAAATAGAGTTGGCAGAGAAGGATATCCCAAAGACGGCTTTCAACGTAGAAAATGGGCATTACGAGTTTGTAATAATGCCATTTGGTCTCAAAAATGCCCCTGCAACATTCCAGCGAGTCATGGAAAACGTCTGAAGAGGACTGCAACGAGAAATATGCCTGTGTATATGGATGACATAATTGTATTTTCAACGTCCTTGCAAAAACACATGGTAAATCTGGCAAAAATATTTCAACGACTTTGAGACACCTGCAAAAATTCAAGCTATCGTCAACTACCCAATTCCAAAAACAACCAAAGAATTTCGTGGATTCCTAGGCCTCCTTGGATACTAACGGAAATTTGCTAGGATTACAATAGGATTACAACGCCGTTAACCAAATGTTTAAAAAAGGACTCCAAGATCGAATATACTCAAGAGTTTCTCAAATGTTTCAACACCTGCAAAAACCTTCTAATCAACGAATCATTGTTTTTCAGTATCCCGATTTCACAAAGAATTTTAACGTCACAACAGATGCAAGCAACTTTGCTATTGTAGCCATTCTATCTCAAGGCCCTGTTGGAAGTGACAAACCAATCGCCTACGCATCTAGGACACTAAACGAGACAGAAATCAAATATTCCACGATCGAGAAAGAAATGCTTGCTGTAGTATGGGCCACTAAATACTTCAGACCTTACCTATTTGGGAGAAGGTTTAAAATCTTGTCAGATCATCGACCTCTCCAATATCTATTTTCACTGAAAGAGCCAAATTCGAAGTAAGTAAGATGGAGGCTTCAACTAGAAGAATACGACTACAGGTAGATTATAAAAAAGAAAAAGCAAACACTAACGCAGACGCTTTGTCAAGAATAGAAGTACACACCAAAGATATCCAACACGCAGATCACAGTATACAAAAATTTCTTGAAAATCTCGATGACGATGCATGGTCAATGTGCAATAATCCCTACGAAAACCAAAAAATTAACGAAATCATTGACGAGATCCTACAAGAAGCACCAGATACTTAGTAAAGAAAGAACAGAACGTAGGTCTTGAAAAAGAC